AAAATTTTTTTTTTTTTTTTTTATTATATATACAAAAGTAACATCTACATAGACGGAAAAAAGGAAGGGAAAAAAAAAATATCGAAAGAAGGGAGAGCTGGCATCTCTTCATAAACTTATCAAAAGCATTCTTTTTTGGATATACAAACCATAATTCTCTCTCCTTTCTTTCTTCTCTTTCTTTTTTCAATTGTAAATTTTTTTCATATATATACTTTTTTTTAAAAAAATTTTTTAATATTTTTTTTCAAATTCGATTTCCTTTTTTGTATAGTTTTTTTCTATTTCTATTTATTTTTTTTTATTTTTTCTTTTTTTATTTTATTTTGCATTTAATTCAAAAAAAGCCAAAAACATATATCCTTTGACTAATTCGAAAAAAAAACCCATTAAAATAATGAAAATAAAATTTTAATTAAAAATGAAACACGAAATAAATTATTTATTCCCAATATGTAATAATACGAAGTAAACAGAACCGGTACTTTAATTATTAAAAAAAAATAAAATGATCTAAATGATCTAAACGAAACGAGACTTAATAATGGATTTTAATAAATGTTCGTGTCATACCTCATACGATCTTTTTTTTTTTAAGAGTTGCTCATAATAAAAAGAATTTCCTTTTATATTTGAAAATCAGTACGAAAAAAGTATAATCATATGTCAAATATATTCCTTGATCCACAAAAATCCACAAAAAAAAAATTGATTCAAAAAAGATGCATATATAAAATATATAAAAATCTTTTTTTTTTTAACTATTTTTGCTTTCCTTTTTCCTTTTTTTTTTCAAAAAGAAAAAAAAAAAATTTAATAATTTATAATTAATTAATTTAATTAATAATGTCCACTATAACTACTATAACTGTTGCAGTTTCTGTCATCATTCTTGGTGGTTTTTATTATTTTTTACCCGACTTTTTTCCTATAATTGTAGCTGTCGTGGGTGGTTCTTGGTTCAAGCATCTTTATCTCGATAAAAATAAAAAAAGTATTTTTTTTTTTTTGTCATTTTAATTTTTATCATAAAATATCTTTTTTATATCTAAATATTCTTATGTATATATTGTTTATTTTTTATTCTGAAAGAAACGGTTCTTAACCCCGAAAAATGGCAAAATTTCACCCTTGTAGAAAAAACTAAAGTCAGTCATAATGTCGCAATGTGAGTAATTTTATAATAAATTAAATTATTATCAACATTTATTAATCTAATCTTTTTGAATCTCTTTTTAGATATCGATTTAGACTTCCTAATCCTGATGATGTTCTTGGACTTCCTATCGGGCAGGTGAATTAACTAATTGACTTTTTAAAATTACGGTAAAATTACGACGAATTTAAAGTTAATTTCCGAATTTTGTATAGCATATTTCAGTTCAAGCTGAAATTAAAGGTAAAAATATCATAAGAAGTTATACTCCAACTAGTTCTGATGATGATTTAGGACATTTCGATTTAGTCGTAAAGGTAATTAATTTAAAGAAAATTTTTTTTTTTTATCATCTTTTTTATTTATATTGTTATCCTATTTTTAGACTTATCCTAATGGATCTATATCTAAATTTATCGGAGAACTTGTAGTAGGACAAGAAATTTCTGTAAAAGGACCAAAAGGTCAATTTAAATATAGACCTGGTCTAGTTAGAGCTTTTGGAATGATAGCTGGTAAATATGTTTGTAATTTATTATATTAAATTAATTAAATTTGGTTATCTAGATTTTTATATCAATTTTTTCATATACAGGTGGTACTGGTATAACACCAATGTTACAAGTAAGTTTACAAATAAATGAATATATACATATATATATATGCATGTATTAATAATGAATAATTATTTTATAGATCATTCGAGCAATAACAAAAAATCCTAATGATAAAACAACTATCAATTTGATTTTTGCAAATCAAACAGAAGATGATATCTTATTAAAAAAAGAATTGGATGAACTTAGTGCTAATCACAAAAATTTTAATGTTTATTATTCCTTGGACAGGGTATTTACTATTATTATATTTTATGTTGTTTTAAGACATGTAACGCGTCCCATTTCGCGTCACCTTTCAAAATATTAAATAAATATATATATATTTTTTCTAGCCACCAGTAGGTTGGACTGGAGGATCTGGTTTTGTTACTCCTGAAGTTATAAAGGAATATTGTCCACCTCCAGCTGATGATATAAAAATTTTACTTTGTGGTCCAATTCCCATGGTTTCTGTAATGGCAAAACATTGTGAAGCTTTAGGTTATAAAAAACCCAGAGCTATTTCTAAATTAGAGGTAAATATTAAAAGTTTTTATTTTTGATTTTTGATTTGATTATTGATAATGTATATTGATATTTAATTTTCTTTATTTATTTTAGGATCAGATCTTTAAATTCTAAGGAAAAAAAAAAATGATTCTTTTTTATGAGTGAAATTTTAACCGAACGATAATCTAAATTAATTATTTAAAGATTCTTGTTAATTAGTATAAAGAATTTTCTATAATATAATGAGAATAAATATATAAACTTTTTGATGAATTTTTCACATTTATACTTTGTGAAAAAATAACTAACTTAATCCAACATGATAAAAAAGAAAAATATTATATATAATCTTTAGTCAATGGTTATTATTATAATTATCGCTGATATTATAAACTACATTGCTACATTGCCTTTTTAATACCTACATCAATTCTAATTTCTTACCATTTCGTTGCATAATTAATTAATTAATTAATTAAATTATACAATAGGACCAGCAGGTGCCATTTGAGCATAAACCATTTCAGTTTCCTCTTCAGTAACTTCTTTACCATCAACAATTTTTGTCCTTTTTGTTTTGATTTCACCAATTCCAGTACCATATTTTCTTCTAGGTCCAAGTGGTATAACATTTCTTCCACTTACTAAAGGTAAATTTCTAATACCAAACCATCCCATTCTAAATGCAAGTTCATTTGCACAAATTTCGCCAAATCCTAACATAACTCCATTTATAAAAGGAAATACAAAATTCATAGTAAAAATTTGTAAAAATGAAATAAATTTTGGATGTCGATAAAATGGTACTACGTCTTGTGAATCTCTTTGATTATTATTATTATTATGCTGATAAGGATCATCACCAGTTTGTGAATCTCTTCTAGTTGAATCTCTTACTCTAGAACTAAATAATATATGACGATCATGACGAGGGGTTGTTGGAGAATCTCCCGTATGAGATGGACTACCAATTGAAGTATTTAAAAGTACGTGCGGAATCATATCATCTGCTTGTGTAGTCGCGGCAAGAAGAGGGGAAGCGTTTTCACTCATTTTGAAAAAAAAAATAATCAACCCTTAAAAAAAGAGATAAAAGATAACAAAATCGATAAATGATGCGTTACAAATATATAAATTATAAAAATTGAAAAATTTTATTTACCGACTTTAAAATATATAAAAACTCCTTCTTTTACGTGAAAACGCAAATGAATTAGAAAAAAACAAAATGTTAAGTTTAGGAAAAAAAAAGCGTTAAAGCGTTACGAGTTTAACAACAAAAAATAAAACCTCTTACTTTTAAAATTAACCGTTATATTAGCAAATAATTAAAGAGGTTAACTCGTAACTCGTAAAAAAAAAAAAAGAAAAGAACACGCATTTTATAATGAATGTCAACATGACGCACTTATGTTTGTGCATTGTCTAATACCTATATTGTTAAAATCAATCAGCATGATATCATCACATGATGATATTTAGATCATCACATAACTTCTTTATGAGAAAGTTCTTTGTTGAAAAAACTTACAATGAATTAGCCCCAAATGGTGTTTTTGTAACAAGTAAAAAAACCCTATTATTAATTAATCGACCGGATTTAAAAAAATCGCTTTATATCCAAGCATAAATAATAATAAAAATACTATATTTTCTCAGTATAATTTTTTAATTATTATTATTCGTGGATTTTTGATGATTATAGTTGATTCAATTTATTAAAATTCGTTGAATCAGGAGTTCAAACCATTTGTAATTATTATTATAGATGATTTTATGGAATGATTTTATCATATAAATTGAAAAATTAAAGTACACTTTAATAGTGCACTTACAAATATTCACTGTTGATGCGGTGCGGGGTCGTTGTACACAGGGGTATTATGTGTACCCATGGTATTATAAACAGGGGTATAATGTGTCATGCCTAGATTGAAAATCTTTAATTTACAGTGATGAACTTTACCAATATACTAACTATATTTAAAATATTTAAATGTATTTTTTTCTTTCCTAATCAATATTACTAAGTAAAAAGAGATTTTTAAAGGTTAGTTAGCCCAAAAATTTGAAAAAAACATACCGTACAAACCCAAGTTTGAACGATTCTAAAAATTAAAACTGTCCCCACAAAAAAAGTCCCAAAAATTTATTTTCATCCCTTGTATGATCAATTATTATGAACATATGAAATTTATGGGATTTTCTTTTAAAAATTTACGTTTAATAAAAAAAATTGTTCCAAGAAGAATTAAAAAATCAGATAAAAAATTTGACCTCAAAAATCTTTTTTTCGATGAAAATCTTTAAATAATCAGAAACATGGTTAGTTTCATATATCAGCTGACTCAGATCCCAAACCGATGTTCAAACGGCATGTGAAACAAAATATTTTTCGTTTAATAAACAAATTATTTATTATTATTATTTTTTTTTTTTTTTTTTTTAAATAAATTTATCAAATAAATTGAAAAAAATAAATAAATTAATTAAAATAACAATATAATAATAAAAAAGAATATTAATATTGACTTAGTATTTTTTTTTTGTAACATATTAGGTTTCATATTTTAAATAAGTTTCTATATTAGGTATTTTTTTTTCATAATCTAAGACAGTAGTTTCATATAATGATTTAAATCATATAATGAAAAAAACCTGGGGAAAAATAATTTTGTGGAACAATTGAAGGTTGAATATTAAAATCTTCAAAAGGAGGAAGAAAATTATTAAATAAAACTAAATTACATGGATCTGTTGCGGGGATATTATATGTTGAATTCATTTCTAATGATGATGAAAAAATTTGAGGTATTTGACCCATATCCATTAAATTTGTATTTTCCTGAAAGAGGGAAGAATCCAAAGAATTTGAAGAAGAAGAAATATTAATCGAATTGGATTGTTGTTGCAATTGTTGTTGCATTATATTTTCATTTTCTATTTGTTGCTGTTTTTCTTTGATCAATAAAAGTTCTTTTTTACGTTTTTCATAAAGTAATTTAGCATCATTAGCTAATTGAGTATAAGTTTTTTTAACATCACAAGGTTCTTTTTTCCATAATCTACTAGCAAAATAAGAAACATCTTGCATTGTTAAACACATTCTTTTATTTTTTAATTGTCTACAAAATTCCATACGATAAGCGATAAATGCGTTAGGAAATTTTACATTTGATTCTTTTTTTCTTTTATAATTTATTCCACTCGAAAGTTTTCTCGAAGAATTGGAAGAAGAAGGTTTTGGCATTAATAATTCAGGAGTTATAAGAGGAGGATATAATGGTCGAATTTCATTCATAAATTTTTCAATATCATCAAGATTAGTATTGTTATTATCGTCATCCAAGATTTTTAAATTTTCATTTTTATCGATCGTATCAATTGTTTTATTATTATTATTTTTATTTTCCATGATTTCTTTCTTTCTTTTTTTTTTTTGTTTTTTTTTTTTTTTTNTTTTTTAGAAAAAATTAAAAATTTTTTTTTATTTATTTTTAAAAAAAAAATTATTTTTTTTCTAACTTTTTTTAAGAGGGAATTCAACGATATTTATAAAAACTATAAAAAAATTTTAAAATGAACAAGATTTTAAATGCACCAAATATAGAATAAAAAATAATTAATAAATATATAAATATATAACTGTCCAGACTACTCCTTGATTTCATATTAGGTGAGATGACGACATAAAATACAACTGTATCAAAAAGAAAAGGTGTTACATTAGTATAAGTATTCGAAACGAGGATCAAATTCATTAATTCATATTTTTTTTTTCAATGATATTGTATTTAATTCTATATAAAGATATATTATTCCCGATGTTTAAGTTTTAAGTTACAATTTAAGATGAGAGACCGGAACATCTATCTACTGATTTACAAACTAACCAAAATTTGTATTAATATTATTGAATATATTTGATAAACGAATTAGCCAAATTTAGTAATACATAATAATTAAAAAATTGCAAAAATTATATTTAATTATTCAGTTAGTTAATCGGGTTCGTTATAATTTGGAAAATTCGCCGAATTAAATATCTATTTTATTTATTATATTTTTCAATAATACAATCAAAAAAAGTAAGTCTAATGTAGATTAATTTTCTATTATTTAATTAAAATTCGAGTTTTTCCATTATCTAGACTCAAAATATTGTTTAGAAGTAACAGTTTTAAATTATATTAAAAATTTATTTTGTTACCTAAACCTAATACGAACCCTTTAATATTAATTTTAATATATTTTTCATCCCCTGTTACATCTAATCATGAAGTATTATATAATTGGTTACATTTCAAAAATTTACAATACATTATTGTTTACAACAAAAGTATTTATTTTATTTACAATTCATTTAAAAGTCCAAAATTAGATTCAATGTTATATTGTAAAATAGAAATTTGTATTGAATCTTCATTCTGTAGCGGAAGAGACGGGGAAGGATGTGAATTTTGAATACTTTGTCGGTTTGATTGAATTTCTTGATTATTATTTGTCCAATTAGGTTCCAATTGACTACTCGCACGTGTTATAGATTGAAATGAACTTAAAGTTTGTTGACTATTATTATTATTATGATATCTTTGACTAGATCCATATTCACTACTATATATGTAAGTAGTATTAATTTGTTGTTCGTCCCAACCTATAAAAAGAAATTTTATTTTAAAAAAAAGGAAATTCATTTTAATTAAATACTTTATATTTAAAATTACCTGATTTAGATTTTAATATGTCACTAAGAAAAAAAAAAAAAAAAAAAAAAAAAAGAAAAATTATTATTAAGTATACAAATTTTATTATATACATACTGTAAATAATATGTATGTGATTACTTACACATTAATTGTAACAGATAATATTATAATGATGGAAATCGGTATAATAATATTTAAGGCAATGCAATAAATAATATTTAATGTCATATTTGATAAAACATTATTGGAAATTATGATTAAAAGTAAAGCAATTGATGAACAAAAATATGTCAAACCAAATATCCAATTATATAATTGCATTCTAAATAAATCAATCTTGAATGTTTTTTTATGTAATAAATGATCATTTTTAAAATTGATATTTGCATCATTTATTCCAACTAATCTTAAACTTGATTTTGCAAGAGTTACTAATAATCTACCATAATAAATAATTAATAATAAACTAATACTACATGGAATTAAAACTGATATTAAAACACATTTTTTCATAATTATTAAATTATTTAATAATTTCTCTCGATTAATATTTCTCTCATTAAGTTGATCATTAAAATAATGGGATAAAATAGAGGAAATTGTTGTCATACTAAATAATGTAAATAAAAGTAGTGGCCATAATAATGTAATAATTCGTTTTTTACCTCCTGCTGGTATTAAAATAGTTTTATACTTATTATTTGTATTTTGATTAAGATTTAATCTTGGTATAACTCGAATCACGATTGACAGATAAACAAATATTGCTACAATGCCAGGCCACCAAGAAATAATAAATATTAATTCTCGAAGTAATGTTTCATCATTAAATAAATCAAATAATATGACAGAACAGCAAATTAATCTCGTTGTACAAAAAATTAATGACCAAACTCTAATATAATTTATTTTCCTTTTTAATAACATCAAACTTAATACACTTAATACAACACATAATCCGTTAAGTAATGCACCACCCATTATAATATTTCTAAAAATATTCTCTTGTTCTCCACAATCGCATAAAGCATATGTCCAAACACAATATTCTTTTTCTACTACGAAATTTTTATTACATTTCATCTTATAAATATGTATTACAAAAAAGCATTAAAAAAAAAAAGAAAAAATCTTCTTGCAAGTTTTAAAAAATGGCTCGACTATTTATTATTCAATTTGAGGGACATAATGTTCATTCTAATTTAGGTAATTCATTTATTATCCCTTTATGAATGAATGGACCTTTTTATTATTGTTGTACGTGTCAATTTTTGGAAATTTTGTTCCGCCGAAAGTCCGAATTGGATCTTTTTCATACCCCCTATTTTTTTCATTCATGATTAATTTAAAAGGAATCGGAAAAATGGGAAAATGTACAGTTGATTTGTTTATTCAATAAATATTGAATTCATTATAATTCATTATAAATACTCTTGATAAATAAAACAAACATTATATGATACATGATTTTTTATTTTTTTTTTGTACAAAATGAATGTAGATAATAATATTCCATGCCAGTAAGTTTGACCGCATACTTTTATAATTATTTTTAATAATAATCAAATTCGTTCTTTAAATATTATATAGATGGATGTACACATTAGAAGGAAATTGTAAAGAAAAAAATTTGTTAATTAAGATATTGAATATATCTGCTATATGTTATGGTATATTAGCATTAAAAAATGTTTTTTTTATTATATGGAGAGTATATTTAAGGAAAGTCGAAAAAAGAGGTTGTGCACCATTAGATTATATGGTAACCTTCGCATTTATATTCAATTTATGTAAGTATATGTTGTTCATGTTTCATACTTTATAATCATACTTTATAATTTAACAATTATTTCTTCGGATCGAATTTTAGTAAGAAGTGTTGATAATTTCATAGTGGTGTACAATTTATTTCCTGAAGCAATTATATTTAGAGTATCATTTTTTGCAATATCTTGGATACCTGGAGCAACAGTAATATATTTATATTTAGCTGTAGTGTTTCGTACAATACCAAGATTGATTTTACATAGATTAACATGTAAAGAAAATACTTTATGGATACTAAATACTAAAAAAATTACCCCTGTATTATGGACATTATCAACAATTACTTCTATTGGATTAATATCAAGTTCTGTCTTGGCAGGTTATTTTCTCAAAGAACAAAAAGTAAAAGAAATGATTATAGCATTTTCCGCACAAATGTTTTTTTTTTTATTTATTAATTTTATTTGTTGGATTTTGTTCCTCTATTATGGTAGAATTTTAGTTAAACTTACAAGGGAAAGTTTAACTTTAGCTGGTATGAATGATGAACGAAAAGATATTGAAAAGAAAAAATTCGATATTTACATTCACAAGGTAAAGTAAACAAATTGGGATTTTAAAAAGAAAGATTTATTAAACAATTACTAATTTTTTTATAGATGAAAATGTTTAATTATATTTTTGGTGGAATAAGTTTATTGTTTGTATTATGTTTGATTCCCATAACAATTTTTTATAAAAAATTTCTGATGGAAATTTTCATTACAAATTTATTATACTGCTTGACTTGTAATGTATATTCCATAATAATGGTTGGAATAATAGGATTCTTCATTATTTATTCGTAAGTCATATTTTTATATATTTATTTATTCGCAAGCGTATTATATCTTCGGTAACTTATATATTTATTTATAGGGAATTTAAATCAAGAAATTTAGAAGGAAGGAAAGAACCTGTTCATAGTACGTGGATGCAAACAGAAATTTCTTATCAAAATTTATCCCGTCATATTTAAATAATTAGTACTAATGTTACCTATCTTTTCTTAAAATAATTATTGTAAATATAATTATAACTTTTTTTTTTTTTTATTTTTTAATTAATTTCGAGGTGTGCAGGTATTAGGGTAGTGACATTTATTACGTAATATTTTAGGGGGTGGGAGGGTATTTGAAGGTTATATAACATATAAGTGTAACGTAAGATTTTCATATTACATGGGGGTGGGTATAAGCTTATAGTGAATGAATATTACGTAATAAATGTCACTGCCCTACTATAGAATTTAAAAATAAATGCACTTCCAATGAAAATAATTGATTTTTGTAAAATATGCTTAAAAAGTAAATTCTTCTTATTTCGACCAATGAAGAAATTATTTGGTTTGTGGTAATCAGGGGCAAGTTATTCAGAATATACATGTATGTAATATTATTCATGTATGTAATATTCAACTTACAAATGAATAATTGTTCTGTCGATTATTGGACATGAATCAGCATTAGTTCCTATTGGTCACCGCAGTATTCCTGGGTACCGTCCAAAATCCCGAAAATCAAAATCCCGATAGGTCAAAATCCCGATAGGTCAAAATCTTACAGGTCGACTTTCGGGCAGCATTAAAGCTTAATGTGAGCCAATTTTTCAGGATTTTATACCTGTCGGGATTTTGAACCTGTCGGGATTTTTGGATTTCGGGATTTTTAGTTTCGTGGATTTTGACCTGTCGGGATTTGGGATTTTGGATTTCGGATTTTTGAGTTTTTGGATTTTGAGTATCGGGATTTTGGCCATATTAAACGGTTACCTGTTAAAAATAAAATAAACAATATCGCAAGAAGAGAGGTGGCTGTCGGGATTTTGAGTTTCTGGATTTCGTACCCGTATTCCTAATTACCGAACTATAACTCAGTTATTGGTCTCTCATTTATTTATTATTTGGATTGAATTTTCAAAAAATCAGGACAAAGTTTTCACAAGCTACATTCTATCTATTAAAGTTAAATTTTTTATTAACAAATAATTTAAAAGATACGAGAATTCTATAAGTGCATCCTTTAGCACTATATACCCCTCTTATGAGTGATTAAAGTTAATTAACTGAAAAATAAAAACCATTTTTAACATAAAAAATATCTGAATATTCCTTAACTCTTATATAAGCAGTTATAGTATTAACTTTATTAATTTTAATGTATTTTTTAAGTAACATTTTTTTTTATTGACAAATAATTTAAAAGACACGAGAATTCTATAAGTGATACCTTCTAGCACTATATATATACCTCATTCATGAGTGATTAAAGTTAATTAACTAAATACTAACTAAGCTTTTTCTGACAAGATCTAATTAAAAATAACTATGGAAGAGCATGGCTGCACTTATTCAATAAAATTTTTTAATTTAAAAATACATAGCATTATATGAGTGATTATGAGTGATTTCTATTTTATAAGTTATTTACCCTCTAAATACCCTCTCTCTACTGTACGAATGATTTTAATAATAATTATGTCTTTGGTATACTTCACCGTATCTAGAAGAATAACTTAAAATATAAAAATATTAAAGGTTTAGTGTAAGATCAATCTTTACAGTCAAACTCCGATATAACGATATGTTGAAATCTTTGAAAAATATCATATCAAAATTATACCGATATTTATATGTTCTCTTATATAATGGGAAAGTAAAATTTTCAGTATCGTTATATTGAGTTTTTAATAAATATCGGTATATCGAATCGAGGTAATCCACAATAATTGTTTCGTTCCCTAGCTATACTCAAAGAAGCATTTGGCATTTAATGCCAATACATTATCTATTTGTGGAAACTCAATGGTGCTCATTGTGAACTCCCTACCTTAACCATAGACCACCTTTTTTCGCTGTTTGTTCAGAGTCTACATAAAAAAAATATAAAATATTTTATTTGTTGGGAGGGTTTTGCGTTAACACTCAACTTTGATTACAAACGTTAGAAAGCGAAATGCTTGATAAATAGCGTTCTGATATGATGATAAAAAAAGGGTTAGTTTGTTGGGTAAAACTCGCTACATACTTTGTTAATATATTATATAACATACAGTCAGCCCTCGATATAACGAACTCGCTTTATAACGAATTTTTCTCTCAAATGCGTCAAATATCTCCGAGTCAGCCAATTAAATTTTTTAACGAGTCAGCAATTAAATTTTTAAATTCTTTGCTTATCCCCTCGTTATAATGAACCAGCCAATTAATTCTTCGCTATAATCTTACAGGTGAAAACCAGAGGGTTCGTTGTATCGAGGGCCGACTGTACGACTGTACATGTTACGACTTATTATTTTTAACAAATAACTGGCCATATAAAAATAAAAACTTAGCTCATTAGATTCATCTCACCATAATGTGTTTATTATCTAATAGAATTAATCGATAGTGAAATATAATGATTTTCATGTAAAATAATCTTAATTACTTTATACTAATCTTAAGTAATAAAAGTTTAATGAAATGTATTAAGTATGTTATTATTGTTACATACGAACCAAATTCCTATATAACGACCCTAAAAAATATTTTCCGATAAATGACCATTTTTCTAGTTTTTATTCCCCAAAAAAAAAAACTCAGACATGTGAATTTTTTATAGGACGATACTTTCCGGATCTCTATGAAAATCTTTTAAAAGATATTTACTATATATGTTCCCTCATATAGAGTGGGATATCTTTATATCAAATTTTTAATAATATATCGGTATATCGAATATCGGTATACTGGGGCCAGACTGCAACTGCAATTGTCATACTTCCATCTACTTCCATCTCTTACTTTGGTATATATCGATATATAAATAGAAAATTAAAGAATTTGATAATAAAATAGACAAAAAGATACGTTTATAATAATTATAAAAATAACATACTCTCGTGAATTATCGTATGCTAGCCACCAGGAAATCATCTTTCATTAAGACTTCGCAACCGGGAAAGAAAATATTTCAATAACAAAAATTATACATAATATTCCCGACTAGCGGGTGCCATTTATGCTAAAAAATCAAGACCATACTTGATTTAGAATTGGTTCAATGAAAAAAGTTGATAAATGTTGATCTCACCTTTTGCTGCTATTCATAATTCATGTTCACGTCACGCGTATATGTACTGTTCCATGAAAGAGTTATTAAATTGAAAGTTCTTGACTACTTGTGCATGTTATTACTTCCGATAACAAAATTAGAATACATGTCAAAGTTACATGAAATATTTGACTATAACATTAATACATGTACTTTTGCAGTGCCAAAACATATTTTGATGTGCTTATTGAGTTAAAAAATTGATATTTTGATATATTTTGATATTTACCATATTATTTTACCATGAACGAATCGCTTTCGAACGGTTTGATTGTATTAGTACGTTCGTGTAAAAACTGTAAAATAGCTTCATAGGTTGTAATAACTTCCTTGTACACCTAGTATATGCAAATTGTAATATCATTAATTAATATTATTATTTGTAAGATAAGGGGAGGATCTTCGACTGATATAGCCCATTAATGAATTTATTATGCTTAAACATTAGGACTAATGCAAGTATTGATATATAATCATAGTATATTTATAGTATAGTTCTTATATTTTTACCGAGTTGAATTCCATCATGTGTTATCGTATCAATGATCAAATTTTTTTTTTTTTCTGGAAAATGTAAAAACCCGAAATCAGTGATTATAAGATTTCCTTTTTTTTATTATCTGATTATCTGTTACGAATCTTTGGTGTTGAAAGTTAAAAGTTCCGATAATAGACTAGAAAAGTATAACAAGGTTTGAACGTTAATGGTTAGTTGGTTACCTCTAACCAAAAATTGATAATCATCAGTTCATGAAACATGTTTCGAATAAATAAATTTACAAATAACGAATGGTAGAATTACAATTTCAAATTATTTAATTAAAACTAGTAGTTAATAAAAGAGAAAATTTGTCACAGTTGAGGAAATCCCGAATGTAAGAAATCCCGAAACCAAATGTAAGAAATCCAAAATGTCCAAAATGTAAGAAATCCAAAATTTATCCTAATATGTATTTCAATTATTATTATTTTAAATAAAGAAATAAAAAATGCCAAGGAATTACACAGTAAATAAATTTCATATAATATATATATATATAAAATAAATAAAATAAATAATAAGTTATATAATCAACTTTATGTTATTATTAAATGTTATTTTTTTTTAAAGTAGTATAACATGATTGATTATCTCTGTTTTTTAAATGAAATAATGAATAAATGATCAAATAAAACTATCAGTTATTCAAAAATACATATCTCCTACCTATTAAGGAATTTTTTATTTATTTACCCGAACTCCATAGATTCGTGAGTCATTTGATGTAATATTTAATATGCTGTGTACTTTTTTCTTGTTGAAATTCAAGTTTTTTTTTTTAAAAAAAAATTCCCATAGAATCATAGAATGATTAGAAAACATCAATCTTTTTATAAACCCAAAAAAAGAACAATATTTAAAGTTATAAATCATTCATGGTTTCTAAAATGAGGTAAGAAAAAATTATTTATTTAGTATATCCGGATTATCATCTATGACTGTTAAAGAGACTAGAAAAAATAGAAGAATGAAAAGTGAATTATGATCATCAGTATCACTCTATTTAAATCATATGCGTTTTTGTTTAAAGTACCTATTAATTTGATGAATGTGTTTAACCGCTGTATGTTTTTGAAAGAATTTACGCGTATATATTTAAGACACTGAAATTACACAAGATAATAACACAACATCATTCATTACATAATATTATAATATTATAACGTAAACTAGATTATGTAAAAAAATTATAAAATAACACTTATTAATTTTTATGATATATTATAAATCTTAGATTGTTTAAACTCGGATTAGATTACATTACATTATTTTTAAGAGATAAACATTATCATAATGAAAAAATGTATATTTATTTTAGACGCATATATATAGCATATATCGCACATATAGCATATATTCATCCTCGGTCCTCAACTCCTAACTAAAATATGTACAGCATGTTTAACCTTGTACACTGTGATTAATCCAATTTAAAAAACACGTGTATCGATTCTTCGCATAAATCATTAAAAGGAATTACAAATATTAATTATCCTTTATTTTATTGGACAGGGAAAGCGAAGCACGCTATACTATTACATAAAGTAAAGAATTTCTTAAAATAGTTTATCTCGTGTACAAATAAATGTAAATCGGAAAAAAAAAATCAGCTGTTAGAAAGAAAATATGAGATGAGAATATTGTTCAGGGAAGATAATCAAATCTTTTTTTTTTTTTCATTTTTATGTAATATTTTACATAACCAAAAAAATGATTATTTAGGAAAATTTTCAATGTCATATTTTATTCGTATTTTTCTGTATTTTCCGTAATATAATTTTAATCAAAAAGAAAAAAAAAAAATTTTTGGATTATTTACGTTTGACAAAAAAGAAACAAACTATTAATGATAATTGTCAAATGAATGACTGATGTTGATTGGTCAGCATTGATTATGTAAGATTTTATATAATGAAAAAATCGGATATTATGATCGATTTTTTGTCCATTCAAGATAAATATCATGTCTAGAAAAGTAAATCAAAATAAACAAAAACAAATTTATTATTAATAATCCATCCTCAAATGTCAGAATTTAAGACGATCTTTTAAAATTCTTCTTGATGCATACCTAAGATATTATACTTTAGGAAAAATGATCAATATTAAATTAATAGACGGAGAATAAAAAAGAAATAAAAAAAAGATAAACAATTATTAAACGAGAAATCTTATAAAATATGTCGTACTTTAAATTTACTGGTGAATGGTTTACATAAGTAGCAATTTTGAACTAAGGTTTATTACATGATCTCGAAATCTATAAAGAGAGAATATTATGATGATCGGTTACAAATAAATTTGTATACATTAATTAACTATGAAGTATGAAGTATGAAGTTTTTCGTTCTTTGTTTTGAATATATAAATAGTAATTCATAGATAAAAGTGTTTCTTATACATTGCTATTTTTCACTAACAAACTTTTTATTTGTTTTGTTTTGCAAATTTTTTAAATAATTATCCGGCCGTTAATGATAAATTTGGAAAGAACTCATTTTTTGATGATTCAAATTATTCTTAGAACACAAGATTATTTTTAAGATGAATTTGTACTTTTTCGTGTATATATATATATATATATATATCAAAATATATTAATATATTTTCGAAAAAAAAAATCCGTTATAAACTTTGATTGTTATCCATATTAAAACATTTTTCTTTTTAGATTTTTTTTTACCTTTCCTAATTGGGTACTTTATATATTTCAAATTAGGATAATAAAATTTTTGATGATTCTTATCAAATTACTATAATAGTAAATAGAAAACACCAATTTTGGGTTTTGTAAGATCACGTGACGACGAACGACCTGTCAACTGGGATTATTTTTAAACTTCGACTTACCCGAGCTTACCCCTTACGCTTTTTTTATCCCTTGTGTAAAAAAAAAACATTTTTGGCGTTTATTAATGCGGAATTTAAACTCCATTTAGTAAATAACGAATGAGAAAATGTAAGTTTTTTTTTTTTTTACATTAATTGTTATCAATTATTTATATCGCGTTTTAGATTAGAAATAAAACGCACGCAAATGATGCAATAATTTTCAAACTACGCTTTTTTTATTGATGTTGTGTTTCCTTCTAATTTCAATGAAAATATATAAAATTTGGAAATTAAACAAAGGGAATCGGGAATAGTACTTTTGTACAATATATCTTTCTAAAAAAAAAAGTTTAATTACGATAAGTTTAGTAAATACGGATGTCCCCGAATATTCCGAAGATTAAATATTGATATATATAGAAACCAACTAATTCTTTTAATATTGTTTCATTATTCTCATTATTCTTCTTTGAAAATTAATCTTTCCGGAAACCGTTTAAATTCTATAATAATAATAATAACACAACAAACTGTAGAAATTCCATTAATTCCATCCCTTTCTTTTTTAAAATATTCAATTTACTAAATATGTAAATTAGTTTCGTCATATAACTTGACAGATTTCAATAAGGGGGTAAAATATTATACACTATGACTATATAAAGTCATGATGGCAAAATCTTAAAAAATATGATACGGTTACAACATATTATTCACACTTGAATCATGCATAATTGCATTCATTCATTTATTCGAAAAATGGTATGCATTCATTGATTATTTAGTTTTTATAGTGTAATCGGAAGAAGAAAAAATGGTAGTGTTAATTAAATTGCTTTTCCTTCTACGCGTTATAAAATGTGTATCTAATTAGACCTAATATGGATTACAAATTTTTTATTAATAAAGATTTGGAAAAAACGAAAGGTTGTTAAGCTTTTCCAATAAAATCATTTCATTATTCGTTCTAATTCACTATTTTAGTAGTAATTATTGGAAGAAGACCGGAAAATCCGCTAAAAGTGGAACAATTCCGAACTCCATATTAGGTTTAATTCATTTATTTTCTGCGCCGATTCTCATAATAAATAAAATGCAAAGTAATTATTTCTATATGAAAAAAAAAAAATGAATGTTAAAGTTCATTCATTCAAAAATAAAAAATAAGAAAAATAAAATAATAATAAATAAATAAATAAATAAAACTGAGCATCTATTGGTACTTCTGTACACTATCTTGCCACGCATTTTAATAGTTATATACTAATATGGGTTATAAATAAAGAAAAAAAGAAAATGGGTAAATAAAAAAAAATAAATAAATAAAATTAATAAATAAATAAATAAGTGAGTAAATAAATAAATAAATAAAAGAAAAAAAAAAAAAAAAATTTATTAACAACCTGTTTAAATAATTACAAAAATTATCTTATACATTATCAGATTTTTAAAGTATACCAATTATTTGATCATTCATTATTAGTATTACGCGTATTATTAAGAATTTGTAATAGGTGGCTCGATTTTCCGCGGCACCAACCGAGCAACCGAATTCAAATCCCGATTTGGATCCTTAAAAAAAAAACGCGTTTATTTAATAATGGATAATATAAAAAAAAATATATAAACTATTGTAAAAATTTATTTATAAATAGTGCATGTAACAAGAATGATTTTTTTTTTTCTCTACGTTCGTATCATATATTCCTATTTCATTTATTATCTTATAATTTCACTACTTTAAACCCACCATAACTATATTCATTCTCTGTGAAACAAACCAAACCACCGAGGAAAAAAATTCCTACATAAAATATCCTAAGAAAATTATTATACCCGTCCCCTTTTTTCTTAGAACAAATCATTATTTTCGCGTCAACTTCCTCCATATGACGAATTCAATTCAAGAACCAAAACGAAATGTTCGTAATACCAATACTAAAAAGAAGTCATCAAAACAAAATGGTAAAAGGAAATCATCATCAAAACGTAAAGATCCTGAGATTACATTAAATTTACCATTTCCTCCCAATGTTAAACTTGAAAAATTTTTTCCTTCCAAATATACTGTAAGCTTGAGAACTCTTAATGCATTCATCATTTATAGAAAAGTTGTCAGTGCTGAGATCAAGAAAAATAAGATTACTTTATGTTGGAGTAAAATTTCAACAATTGCATCAAATAAGTGGAAGCTTGAAGATGCTGAAGTTAAACAACATTATAGAGATCTTGCTGAAAAAACTAAAACCTTGTATAGATCTAAACATTTGTTTTATGTTCATCAAGGAAAGAACGCTGCCAGTTCTGTAATGCTTCAAGATAATGGGGAAACAACCGATAATACCCCAAAAACTTTTACTTTTGTATATTCGGAATATGAAAAAAATCTTTCAAATGATTCAGGTGTTGAACAACAAAAAAACGCATTTAATGAACAAATTGAGGGTACTTTAGAAACTCCTGAAATTTCTAATGTCGATCCTCATGTTTTGAATGAAAGTGATCAAACTATCATTCCACCTTCCAACACCGGGTTTAATCTTGAACATAACTTCTTCAATTTTGTTAATATGGTTGGCTTACCAATTACTACATTTTTGCATGATGACAGATCATTTCCCCTATTTCAACTTGAAATGGCAAATAATAATATGCCCGAATTCGATGATCATAGATTTATTTAATTTTCATATATATATTATATATATATATATATATATATCAAAAACCTTTATTTGGTATAATTGATTATTAATATTTTAAATATTTGAACATTTCGTTAATACCTATTTCATTAATTATTCCATAGGGTATAAGACAATTAAGACTTAGAAGAAAATTAAGGATATAATTATTATATAAGATAATAATATATAAGTATGACAAAAAAAAAAAAAAAAAAC